TTCCTTCCTTCCTTCCTTCCTTCCTTCCTTCCTCCCTCTCCTTTCTCCCTCTTTTCCTTTCCCCACCTTCTCTCTTATTACTCCCAAAAGAACACTTAGGAATTCAGATTGAAAAACACAAGTTCACTGTTTAAGAAGCTCTGCTCTGGTCAAAAAGACCACCAGAATATTAACAGATGAGGCATTGTTTTCATGTGAGACACATTAAGAACTAGATGTAGAAAATTAGATAAATGGGCTTTTCTATAAAACTGATGACAGAGGATTCCTCTGGGAAAATTTCGACACAACAGCTACAGGACTTGACAGTTGATTAAGATACGGAGTTAATGTGGAAAGGGAGAATGGAATTAGTGCAGAAAGACCATAGAGGGACACGAGAGATGAATGCAGGGAACATTTCTTGGAGAGAACAAACTTCAGTATAGGAAGTGCAGCCTTCTGCTGTCAACATGAACATTAATTGTTCCCATTGTGTAAATGTGGCTAAGTATAATGCTGTTGAAGAGATAGAAAAAGATACTTTAATTCAATAGAGGCATCAATATGTCACCTATAATAAATTTGACAGATATTACATTAAACAAAGTAATATCTAGTGAGAATGTTTAAAAGCTAAGCAGTGAGTACATAAATTCAACATCTGGGTTTTGTATAACACACTGCAGACTCAACTTCAAGTTGTGTGACACAGTTTTGTTTACAAAAATATGAGCACATTCAAAACTCAAGACTCAGCTTTCCATTGCACTGATGTGCTCTAAGTTAAGACTGTATCTTAAATTGGATTTAATGTGTTATTTGCTTTTCTCATAGAACCAAGTAAGTTTTCGCTTCCTTCCAAGAGTGTTTCTCTCTGTAAAGGGTACTTGTACTAGCAACTCAAGTAACTGTGTCAAACTGAAAACTAGGGGAAGTAGTTGTCTGCACCATTCTCACAACCACTGTCAGGTTTGAGTCTATTGTTGTAGATTCTGTGTCCATCCATCTCCTTGAGAAACTTACTCCTTTCCTTGAACATTCTTCAAGCATAGTATCCGTTTTTTTAGGACTGATTCCTCTTAATTTCATGTTTTGGCCCTGGATGAGATGGATTGACAAAGTAACTTGTATATTTGGGGTAGGTATGTGAGAGACATGAGACTGATTAAGAATAGGACAAGATTCAGAGCTATTGTACATAGGGTCACTATGAGTGGCAGATTACTTGACAGCACCTAACAGCAACAACAATGGTACATGAGATGAAGTATTTCCATCATTGCTTCTCAGGAGCATTCTGATGGATCTTCCAAGACAGTCTGTTTGTTCTGTTAGACCATTTACGTTCCATGTACATACCAATATTTAGTATTCTTCACTATCAACATAATTCGTTGGCGTGGATTCTTCTCAAGTCTTCCTTATTAATTGTCCAACTTACACATGCATAGAAGGCAATTGAAAATATCATGGTGGCTTGACACCAGAGTTCCTTAACATCTTGAATACTTTAAGAGACCCTTTGCACCAGATTTCTCTAATATAATGTTATTTGATTTCCTGATTGTGTCTTCTGAGGGTTTTGGTGGTGGATCTAAGTCAAGTGAAATCCTGAAATATTTCAATTTCCTCCCACTTATTCCATTATTCTTTTTGATCCAGTTGTGAAGATTTTAAAGATATTAAAGTACAATCCATCCTAATGACATCAATAAATGTTTCAACTTCATTTTGCTTTCAATAAGTAAGTGGTATCACCTGAATCTCTCAGCTTGATAATAAGTCTTCCTTCAAGCGTGATGTCATCTTCTTCATATAACACCTTTTCTGGGATTGTTTGCTCAGCATATTGAATAAATATGGTGAAGTGAGGCACTTATTTCTTAATTCTAAACTATGAAGTATTTGCTCTGTTCAAACGATTACTTCTTGGTCTATGTAAAGGTTCTACATAAGTACATTTAAGTGTTTTGGAGTTCTCATTTGCCACAATGTTATCATAATTTTTAGGAGCTACATCATCAAAAGCTTTTGCACGTCTTTCTGACATCTCTTTTTTCTTTCAAGATCCTTCTGACATGATAGCCCTCTGCAATTATATCCTTTGTTTCATGTCCTCTTCATTTATTATTCCTGAATAGATGATCATATGATTATCTATTTTAAAGGACAAATACCAATCTATTTCAGGTCTCTAATGCCTAGGATGTCAAGATTCAAATATATTAAGTATATAAAGATAAAGAATGTGTATGTTCTTTGTTGTGGTAGTGGTGTATCATCAAGTTATAACCAACCCATAGCAGACCCTCCAGCAGGTTTTCAGAGACAGTTAATCACACAGGAGATTATCCATCTTTCTCCCACAGAGCATTTGGTGGATTTGAACCACATGCCTTGGGGATTGCAGCACAGCTTCTTACTGGTAAGACACCTCTCTATAATTATGGAAGCTCTGGTTGCCTACTGGTAAGAGCTGTACTTAATCTAAAAGGAATATGGTTCAAATCTACTAGCTGTTCCCCAGAAGAAGGATGAGCAATCTTTTCCTGTGCAATTAACTGCCTCTGAAAACCCACTGAAGTCTCAGCTATGAGTTGGTTCTGGCTTGAAGGCGCATTACAAAAACAACAACAAATGTCTTTATGAGGAGGAATGTTGCATCAGAATTGGAGAAAGACTAATCAACAATTTGCATTATGCAGATGACCCAGCCTTGCTTGCTGGAACTGAGAAGAATCCAAAATATCTGCTGCAGAAGGTCAAGGATTATAGTCTTCAGTATGGATTGCAGCTCAATGTCAAGAAGACAAAGATTCTCACCACTGGATCAATTGGAAGCACCATGATGGATGAGAAGAGATTGAGATTGTTAACAATTTCAGCTTTCTTGGCTTCACAATCAACACTCTTGGTACTAGCAGCCAGGAAATAAAAATGCAAATTGCTTGAGAAAAGTCTGTTGTCAATGACTCTCTCCAGAGTGCTAAAGAGCAAAAATGTCAGTCTAGAGACTAAGATGTGCCTGATGCAGTCCCTGGTCTTTGCAATTACTTGCTATGCATCAGTGAGCTGGACAATGAGCAAAGATGACAGAAGAAGAATTGATGCCTTTGAGTTGTGGTGCTGGAGAAGAATTTTGAACATACCATGGGCCACCAAGAGAATAAACAGATCTGTCCAGGAGAGGGTAAAACCAAGTTACTCCTTGGAGGCAAAGATTTTGAAGCTCTGTCTTATGTACTTTGGACATGTTGCAAGGAGAGCCTAGTCCTTTGAGAAAGACATCAAGCTTAGAAGTGAGGAGGGACAGCACAGAAGATCTTGAATCAAACAGATTGACACAGTGACTAAGATAATAGTGGCAGGTGTGTCAGAGACAGTAACATTGGCTCAGAATAGGACAGGGTTCAGAGCTATTGTGCATAGGGTTGCCATGAGTCACAGGTGACTCTACAACAACATTACACACACACACACACACACACACACACACACACACACCTCACCTTTAATTCTTTTTTTTTGACTATTAATAAGATTAATCCAATAATTTCTTTAGGTATGATTTTTTTGAGGTTAGGATAAGGATTGTATTTGAAAAGATATGAAGAATAGGTGGAATAGAATTTACTTAATAACAACCATTTCCTTGTACATAATCTATAGAAAAATTATTATTATTTAGAGCATGAATTTAAAAAGAAAACAATACAACTTAGAGTTTTGCTCGGCGGCAGAATACTTACAGAATTCTGTTACTAGCCCAATGGTGGTAATTCTCTGGGAGTTCAAACTCATCATCAGCTTCTTGGGAAAAAGATGGAGAACCTCCTCCCATATGATTTGTTGTTGTTGTTGTTATGTGCCATCGAGTCGCTTGCAACTCATAGCGACCCTATGTACAAGAGCCCTAAATGCTGTTCTATCCTGTGCCAACTTCACTGTCTCCAACACACCTACGCCCACCACCCCCAATCACTGAATTGATCATCTCATCGAGGGTCTTTCTCTCTTGTGCTGCCCCTCCACTCTCCCAAACATGATGTCCCTCTCCAAGGACCCCAAAGTATGTCAGACAAAGGTTCAGAATCTTTGACTCCATGGAGCAGCTCAGCTTCACCCTCTCCAGGACAAAACTCTTTGTTCTCCTAGCAGTCCATGATATATTCAATACTCTTCTCCACCACCACAGCTCAAAGACATCAATTCTCTTTCTATCAGCCATAGTCACTGTCCAGTTCTCTGATGCATAGCATGCAATTGTGAAGACTATAGCCCAGATCAGGTGCACCTTAGTCTCCAGCTGATGTCCTTGCTCCTCAGTACTCTGGAGAGGTCCTGACAGCTGACTTTCCCAATGCAATTAATCTCTTGATTTCCTGGCTGCTGGTACCAAGATTATTGAGTGTGGAGCCAAGCAAACTAAAACTGTTTTATCTCAGTCTCTTCACCATCCATACTGATGTTGTCTATTGATTGGCCCAGTGGTGAGAATCTCTGTTTTCTTGATATTGAGCTTCAATCTGTTCTTGACCTTCTGCAGCAAGCGCTTCAGGTCCTCCTCAGTTTCAGCAAGCAGAGTTGTGTCATCTGCATAACACAGGTTGTTGATGAATTTTCCACCAATCCTGATGGTTTACAGCCTCCGAAAGCCCACTGCAGGTTTAGTTATGAATCAGTTCTGACTTGATGGCAATGAATTTTTAAGATACACTGAGGGGAGGGAGGGAATATAGATTTTTTCCGTGGAGAAGTTTAAAGTGCTGTTTTGTTGTTTGTTTTTGCCCCCTAGTGATACCTTCTGCAACCACCATTTCCAGGGCAGAAGATATAAATACTACAGTGCCCAAGACCATAATTCAATGGAAGAGTCAAACAACTATTGAAAAGGTTTCCTGTGAAATGAGATACAAGATTACAACAAATGAGACTTGGAAAGTAAGTGAAATATTCTATAGCATATAACCATATGATCTAAAAGAGAAGGCAGCAAATTAACTGGAGTTACAATGGACTTAAAATGGTCCATTTTACAAGTTGTATTTTTTGTTTTAGTGAAGGTTTACAAAGAGATTGACTTTCTTTTATTCATTCATGCAATCTCTCCCACTTCCCTAATTCCCTTTATAATCTTTGTCCTAGTCCAAGTTTTTAATTGTCACACAAATTCTAATCATCCATCCCTTTCAGGTTGTCTTTCCATTCACCCATTCCAGTGCAATGTTCATTATCTGTCTATCCATTCTTTTCTCACACTCTCCCCTATTGTGATCCTATTAGTACAATAGTGGGTTTTTGCAGTATTTTCCCTTTGTGACTAAAATATTTCATTCAGCATAATGTCTTCCAGACTTATCCAAATTGTGTAATCTTTCATGAATTCACTGGGTTGTGTTTTTTTTTTCAATGCTGTGTGAACATACCATAGTTTCTCTAATCATTCAATTGTTAATAGGCACTTGGGCTCCTTCTATCTCTTTGCTACTGCAAATAATGCTTTGATTTGCATGGGTGAACATTCGTCTGTTTGTCTTGCCGCTCTAATTTCTTTGGGGTATGTTCCCAGTAGGTGGATAACAGGATCCAATTGTATTTCTATTTCCATCTTTTTTATGAAGTGCCAGACTTTTCTATGTAATAGGTGTACATTTTACATTCCCACCAGCAGTATATGAGAGTTCTGATCTCTCCACATTCTCACCAGCATTTTCTGTTTGCTATCCTTTTAAACTCTGCTGTTGTTGCTAGAGTGAGATAAATATTTTTAATCTGATTTCTGATATGCTCATCAATTCTGGTTTTAATAATGAGTGTCACATTCTCCCGAGCAAAGGGCCATTTCCTAAAATAATTCTCCTGCTTTCTGTAAATAGTTAACTAGGGAAATAAGAGAAATAGATCTATTAGTTGTTATAAGTTCCCATTGAATCAATTCCAACTCTTGGCAATCTATGTGTGTTCAGAATAGACCTCCTCCATAAGAGTGTTCAAGATTGTGAGTGTTAGGTAGGAGTTAGCTAAGCCTATCTTCCCAAGTGCATCCAAGTGGGCTCAAACAGCTGAACTTTCAAGTGGTAGTCTCACGCTTTATGTGTTTGGGCTTCCCAGGGACTCCACCTATTTGCTAGTGTTGTTAGGTGTTGCTGGGTTGACTTCATAGTAACCCTAATAATGACAGAACAAAACCGCGCCTTATCTGTGCCATCCTCACAATTTTTGCTGTGTTCAAGCTCATTATTGCAATTATTGTGTCAGTTTATCTTGTTGAAGGTTTTTCTCCTTTTTGTTGACTCTCTACTTTACTAGGGAGCACTGAGGGTCTAGTGCTAAGGGGCTGCGCTGCCATACCAAAAGGCACATGGTTCAAATCCCCAGATGCTCCACGGGAGAAGGATGTGCAATTTCCTCACATGTGATTAACTGCCTCTGAAAACCCTCTGGAGGCTCAGTTATGAGTTCATTCTGACTTGACAGTACACACAACAACCACATCAAGAAAAACAAGTTTTCTAAACATGATGGCCTTCTCCAGAGACTTATCTTTGCTGATAATGTGCCCAAAGCACATAGATGACATCTTAACAACCTAGCTTCTATCTTCTAGCAGGCATTCTGGCTGCATTTCTTCCAAGAACTATTTGTGTGTTCCTTTGGCAGTCCCTGGAATTCACTATCCTTTGTGAACAACACTACCCAAAAGCATCAATTCTTCTGCCTTTCTTATTTATTGTCCAACTTTCACATATACATTTGAAGCAATTGAAAATATCCTGGATTAAATCATATACTTTAGTCTTCAAGGTAATTACTTTCTCTTTAGTACATTTTAAAAAAAGTCTTTGGCAGCATATTTGCTCTGCAATAATAAATCATTTGATTTATTTTTTTTAATTTTAATTGTGATTTTAATGAAAGGTTATAGAGAACATGGATTTCCATTCATTCATTGTTGTACTTTTCCCTCCCTACCCACCCCAACCTTCCAGTTTGATTTTATCCTTGAAAAAATATTCTTTCATTGTTGTACAATTGCCCCTTCCCTAGCCCACTTTACCGTGCAGCTAATATTCTGGACTGTTGTCATACAAATCATATATTCCTTTTAAACAGTTCTTTTCATTAGCAGCTGAGCATGGTAACTGTTTGCACCACCTAGTGACTCCTTTGACACAAGGAGCCCATTGCTGTTGAGTCAACTCCAACTTAAAGCAACTCTAAATGACAGAGTAGGGAGCTCTGTTGACTTAGTGGTAAGGACTTATGCTGCCAACCCAAAAGCCTGGGGTTTGAATCCAACGGCTACTTCACAGGGACCGCCTGCTTTTGATATGGTATCTCAACTCCTTACCCACTAGGCTACCAGAAGTGCCAATAGGCTAGAAGAATGTTTAGGAAAGAGAAGATCATTTTATTACCAGTATCTTTGGGTTTTCAGAAACCTGCTGTTTTCTGTCTTAACTCATGTTCTCTGCTCCCCCTGGTGGTGGTACGTGAGACATTGTGAGTGTTGGCAGTTTAGAGGAAAATTGAAATTTGTTTTTCAAGGTCTTCTTTTTGTCTGAAGTAGGAATAAAAAGTAGCTAAGAGAACATTTTTGTTCTCTTATTTAATATACATAACACTTCTTTGTGGTATTTGGTATTAACCCCTTTCAAAACATGAGGAAATTGAGCTAAAAAGATGTTAACACAGGCTTCTCAACTTCACATAGCTCATCACTCAGCACCTTCACAGACTCAATAACGCTTTCAGTCCCAATAAATATTCGGAGGAAAATTGAAAGAGCAGATGGAAATCAGCACCTTCACAGATTCAATAACGCTTTCAGTCCCAATAAATATTCGGAGGAAAATTGAAAGAGCAGATGGAAATGAGTATTTTACCCACAACCTGAGCTCAGCATAACCTCTCTTGTATGTCCTCCTCAAGTAAAGACATTAACTCAGGAGGTGAGTGATTTCTATCCATTTTACCCAAGTCAAGTCAGTGATAGCTGGAATGAAGCTTCATTTTACATTTACCACCATGGATTTCATCCGGCTCATACATTAACAACATGCATTGTTTTTGCCATCCTGCAGGGGAACCTACCGCAGATATGTTGAGGCAGCCAGGGACTTCGGGTTAGTGATGCTCAGTAAATACTAGCTGTGGTCTTTACTTTTCATCTTAACTTCTGGGGCTCTTAGATGTTGTCACCTAAAAAAAAAAAAAGAGCTGATGATCCAGTGCTGAAAACACGGTGAAAACCTGAAGGAATTCAGTTCTACTCTGACTAGGGTAACAATGAGTTCGAGTCGATTTGAAGGTTGATTTGAAGGTTAATAGTATAGTATATATAGTATAGTATAGTATAGTATAGTATAGTATAGTATAGTATAGTATAGTATAGTGAAGTCTGATGGCTTAGTGGTAAGAAATGAGCTTCCAATGCAAAGGTATATGGTTGAAACCCACCAGCTGCTCTGAGGAAGAAAGACAGGCAATCAACTCTAGTGTATTTTAATTGCCTCTGGATCTTCACTGGAGGATCAGCTATGGGTTGGTTCCAACTTGATGATACATCAAAACAGCAACAAAAACTACCAGCTGTGAAGGTTTAGGGAGCTCTGGTAGCCTAGTGATAAAAACAGTGCTTCAGTTCTAAAAGCATCCATTCTGAACCCACCAGCTGGTCAATGGGAGAAAGATGGGCAATCTCCTCCTTTGCAATATTGAATGACCTGTAAAAATCTCCTAGAGAGTCAACTCTGAGTCAGTTCTGGCTTGACAGCACTTAACAACAAATAATTCCATATACTTACTTAACTCAATGTTGTTGAATTTGCTCTGACTCATATCAACTCTCAATTGGTATTCTGAGGCTAAATCTTTCTGGGAGGACACTACCTATCTTTCTACTGATAGGATAGTTTGGCATAAAAAATACAGAATATAATGTAATGTAATATAATAATAGAATAGAATAGAATAAAATAGAATAGAATAGAATATAAAATATAATATCCTGTCAAGGATCTCTCCATAGAGTTAAAGTGCACCTGATCCAACCCATGTTCTTCTCAATTACTTGCTATGCATCAGAGAGCTGGACCATAATTAAGGATGACAGAAGAAGAATTGATGCCTTTGAGTTGTGGTGCTGGAGAAGAGTATTAAACCTACCATGGACTGCCAAGAGAACAAACAGGTCTATCCTGGAAAGGGTCAAGATCAAGTTGGTCCTTAGAGGCAAAGATGTTGAAACTCTGTATCGCCTACTTTGAGCATATTGTCAGAAGGGACCAGTCTTTGGAGAAGGAGAGTAGAAGTTCAGTGTAAGAGATGAAGACCCCGGACAGATGGATTATTACAGTGACTGTGGCAATGGGGTCAGGTGCGTCAGAGATGGTGAGGCAGGTTTAGGATACGGCAAGGTTCACTGCCATTGCTCCTGGGTCACTGTGAGTCCTAGACAACTCAATGGACACATAACAGCAGCAACATAGTACAGAAAGACAGTAAAATCCCCAACAAGATGGGTTGACACAGTGAATGCAGAGATGACGTTAAGCATGTCAGAAATGATGGTGATGACACAGGATAGAACAAGGTTCTGATCTTTTGTTCATAGGATTGCTATGAGTCGTATGACTTGCTGGCACCTAACTACAACAATAATTTATAGAATAGTATATTATTAGTACAGAACTGGGCAACCATTTTCTCTTTTACACATAAATAAGATTGCAATGGGTTCTAGTTGACTCAAGGATAATTGGAATTGGCACCTTAACCTTCAAAAGAGCTGCAAAGCGGAAACGATAGTGCAAAGGAACCCCACCTGGGAATAAAAATAAGTTAACTGAGGGTGCCTTTCAGTTTCTTTAATTTTTGTACAGACAGTGAGATATCTAAGGGAATCAGAATATTTGTCTCTTGGGCAATCATTCCAAATC